CAGGGTACTAGCTTATAACTGGGCAAAAATAACATTTTGATTAGCTATAAGAGAATATTATGATAACAGGTACTGAATGGAAATGCTAACAGTTAACTTTCTTCAGGATGCAATTAGTCTTTTTCTTAACCGTACCATAAAACATTTAGATTTGCTAGAACAGGATATTATGATAACAACACATACTGCATGGGAATACTAACTGTTAGCTATATATGATTAGTCTTTTTCTTAATTGTTGTGGAGTACTAGTGTGTGATGTGTTGTGATGTTTGGGGGCGGGGTGATTTTGTACACAAAACTGTACTGCTCTTCTAATGCGAGACAAATGAGAATAAATGCGACAGATCAAGAAAATCTTCGCCATGAAATGCTCACGGCATCATGTTCTTTCCAGTGTGTGTTTTCAGGGAAGTTAATTAAATATGTGACTCTTTTTTGTTTCAATTCTGTTATCTTCTGTACCACTCTATGCCATCTTTGTTAAGTTATTCATTTCACACATCTACAGTCAGTGAGTCTGACACCGGCAGACACCGTCTGAATAATAATAATAAAAAAGAAATAAAGTCCTTATCAGGCCCCAATGATCTAAATATAATCTGTGTGAGAAGGACCAAAACAGTGGGGAAACGTGAAGATAAGCGATCGTACTGAAACACACACTCACACACACAGCCGAAATCTCTTTATTCTCTATTCTTTAGTCTCTAGTGAATAGCTGTGGTCACCTGAAGGCAAGCTCCATTCCTCAATGACAAAACAAATCCCCACACAACCAAGAAAAATAGCCAAGAAAGAGTTTCAAAATAACACACAGTGATCCAAAGGCAGTGGTCTCAATGCTGCTCGCTAGTTTTTAGTTTTTATTTTTTTTCCCCCTCAGAACCAAATAAAAGATAATCTAAAAACACTTTGTCCGTTAGTTAGGCTCTTAAGTCGATATCAAATACCTGCAAGACTGTTTACTCAGGTTTTTTGACACAGCAACCCACATTTCAATTGGGCTGAACACAGTTATATACAACATGAAACGGCATTCACAATTCATTTAATGTCTGCAATGTGATATTTCTAAGTGAAAGCAAAAATGTTATAGCTGTCAAGATCTCCAAAGAAGATTATTGCAAATAAAATCGCATATTGGAATAAAAGAGGTAATAGACACAAGAGGGTGGGCTCTTTTGACTTGAGACAGTTAGCAACCACCTGGAACAACCCTTAAATTAACCATGGTTTTATTATAGTAAAAGTGTAGTAACCATGTTTTTTGCCATATTGATTACCATTTGTATAACCACAATTTTACTACAAATATCATGGTTAAACTATGGCTAGTGTAGCAAAACCATAGTTATTTTGTGCTTACCATGGTTTCACTATACTATCCATAGTTTTTTTTTTTTTGTAGTAAAACCATGAATAATTTTCGTAAGGGAAACTAGCAACCACCCAGAACACCCTAGCAACCGCATAGCAATGTCCTAGCAACCACCTACAATGGCATTTACAATGGAAGTGAATCTGTAAATGTTTAAAACTCACTGCTTCAATAGTATTGCCGCAAAACGTAAATAATATGAGTGTTAACATTATTTGGTAACACTTTAGAATACTGTTCTGTCGTTAATGAATAACTAGCACAGGAACAAATAACTAATACACTAATAACATTCTAGTAACTATTATTAACTAACAAGAAACTCTGAAGTAATAGCGCTCAGTTGAAAGTGGTAGTTCACTATTAGCTAATCAGTAACTGTTATAAATAAATATTTATATATATATATATATATATATATATATCCCGGTGAACTACTAAGAGCTACTATACAGGTTCATAATTAATGTGAATTATGCATAATGTATAATTAATTATAAAGTGAAGATCATGGTAACCCACTAGTAATGACTTAAGTATTACCAAATTCTTCTAAAGGAACTACTAATTATTTGGATCATTATTCTAAAGTGAAAAGCATGGTAACTCCCTAATATTGACTGACGTCATTTTAAGCTTTTGAGATATATGTATGGTTTTGGGTAGTAATGGCTCAAGTGTTACTACATCATTCTAAAGGAACTACTAATTACTTGGATCAGTATTCTAAAGTGAAGATCACGGTAACCCACTAGTAATCACTCAAGTGCTACCAAATCTAGCAAAAGGAATTACTATCCAGAATCTTACAAAAACCTCAAAAGCTTACAATGATTTCAGTAATCACTAGAGAGTTATCGTGTTATTCACTTTAGAATACTGATCCAAGTAATTAGTAATTCCTTCTGAAGAATTTGGTAATACTTGTGTCAATACTAGTGGTTTACCATGACCTTCACTTTAGAATTAATTATAGATTGTGCATTATTCATATTAATTATAAACCTGTTTACAGTAGTTCTTAGTAGTTCTTGGGGAGGTATGGAAAAATAATAGTTCCTGATTAACTTATAGTGAACTACCACATTAGAATAAGCACTATTATTTACTAATTCATTAATCAGAGTTTCTTGTCAGTTACTAGTAGTTACTAGAGTAGATTAGAATATTGTGTTACACATGTGTTCTTGTGTAGTTATTCATTAATGACAGTGCAGTATTCTAAAGTGTTACCAAAACGACTTTACTTTTTTTTTTTAAGTAATTTTAAACAGCTTAACAGCTCAAATAATAGACATATTTTAACAGAAAAAAATTAATGTAAATGTTAACTACAATGGAAGAGAATGAGGCCCACCTTGAATAGTCACTGTTTCAATAGTATAGCCACAAACCTTAAACAATATAAGTCTGAGCACAATTTTAGTGTGGAAAAAATGCTATTAACCTTTTCTATGTAAATTTATATCCAATTTTATAAATGTATCTCTATAGCAATGCCAAAGGCCCCAAAACGACTGTAAAAATAACATCTTAAACAGCTTAACAGCACAAATAATGCACACATTTTAACAAAAGAATGAGCATAAAAGATTTTATAAAATTACAAGCATCACATATCTGTTTTTAAATGCTTAAATGCAAAATTTACTTTTGCCTCACCGTAACCTTAAAAAAAGAGGAACAAGTCGAAATTATGCACTGCAATATCATGCACAATAAGACTACAGACATTTATTAAGAATGTAAATGAGGTCAATTCTAGTTTCATGCTATATTTAACCCACAAGGCTAGTTTGTCTTAACTCTTATGACAAAAAAAAAAAAAAGCATGAGTCTGGCTCATATGACCATTCTCATAAAGACGTTTCTCTCTCGCTTCTTCTCTCTATCTGTCCCAGATTCGAATACCTCCAGGAGTGAGAGTTGATATCTGCTCTGCGGACTGATAATGTAAATTATGAATGCTCAGTTATGACAGGTGTGCAGAGAGCAATCCGAAACCAGTCTGCGGTGGAACAAAGCGGCCTGAGTTTTCTCCTCAAAGGAGTGTGTACTTCCATACCTCCCCCTTCAAGCCACCCAATTTTATTTACTTTGAAACCGAACCAAGACTAAGATTGAAATGGAACATAAAATGTAAATGCGCAAGTTTCCCCTCCAAGAGAAGTCCTCGGTTGCTTTAAAAAGCCTGGCGTATGCGTGCGAACATCTTACGAGCGGTTCAACTCAAGGTGAGGATGATGAATACCTCCATATGTTCATTTATTACGGCCATAACTAAATACATACTTTCTCTAGACATGAACGATGTAGCTCATGCGTCTCAACAGTTAAACATGCTTGGCTGCAATACATCAACGTTTTAGACATAAACTAGGCTGCGGTTTCCATATAAACCTCCTTTCTTGTTCCCTTTCACCACAATGTCACAAAATGCAATCCTCACTTTATCATGTGGAGAAACAGTAATTGCCTTTTAGCAGAAACCCATTATTACATTAAGCCGACTGTGCTTATCCTGCATAGAACTGACTTCAAACGACTGCAAATCTTTTGTGGGTTTAATTCTGTCACTCTTAAAACGAGGAAAAAATGGGCACTTTTTCCGTTAAGATGGAAACTGCACTATAAAGGCTAAAGTCTTGACCTGCAGCTACAGTATAGATGTCGATGGACCATCATGATGTTTTCAGCTGAATTTGAAATACAAGGACTGTTTATGTCAAGTCTGTTGCACAACTAGACATGAATAAAACACACATCGAAAACTATCAACACTATTAAAGCTATGTCTGAAGCTATATCAAAATACATTTAATAGATTCATCACATGAACAATTCAAGGGATCATCTTTTCAAGATATGAGTTCACTGTACTATGAAAAAAAAAAGAAACCAAGCTGCAAAAATGGCTTGTTTTGAACTTCCAAAACTTTCATCATACAAATTTACATAAGTCTTAAAAGACATAGGCAAAAATGGCCTATTTAATTAAAATGGTCAGAGAGAGTGTGAAAAAATTATCTAATAATTAATCCTAATAATTAATAAAAAAAAAAAACATCCTAATAATACCAGTGGACAACTATATACTATATATTATGTAAACAAAACCTTTTCTTTTGGATGCGATTAATCGTTTGACAGCACTATGCTCACCAAGGCTGCATTGCAGTAAAAGCAGTAATATTGTGAAATATTATTAGAATTTACTAATAATTGTTTATTAGTTAACTGTTTTCTGTTTTTACATATTATAAAATGTAATTTATTTATGTGACTTCAGTCTTCTGTGTCACATGATCCTTCAGAAATCCTTCTAATATGCTGGTTCGCTGCTTAAGAAACATTTCTTATGTTGAAAATAGTTGTACTGCTTAATATTTTTGTTGAAACCATTTTTTCAGGATTCATTGATTAATAGAGTTAAAAAACAGTATTGATTTGAAATAGAAATCTTTAGACATTTTAAATGTCTTTACGATCGCTATTGAGAAATTCAATACATCCTTGCTGAATAAATATACTAATTTCTTTCAAAAAAAAAAGAAACCTTACTGACCCCAAACTTTGAAAAATAGTGTACACACAGTATCTAAAATCATTGCGAACTTACCGCGGCAATGCACACCCTCATCATAGCCGTCCTCGCAGTCTCGTACTCCATTGCAGAATTTACTGAAATGCACACACCTGTGCGTGCCGAGGCACTTGAGGTGATTGACAGGACATCTCACCTTTACCTGCCGCAAGCCTGGAGAAGAGAAGCAATTGTAATGAAATCTTGAAATATTTGACTTCTTCAAACTACATTTATGCATTTAGCAGACACTCCAAAACAACTCACAAAAGAGCAACAAAGCAATTCATCAAAAAGCCAACAGTAGTCGTAATACACAATGCCAAGTTTATTAGACAACCAGACTAGGAAGCAACCTAGAAACTAGTCTTCATATATGTTAAAACATTTATCACAAGTCCAGGAAAAAAGTTTTGATCATTCGCTGTGATCAAATTTCCAGTAGATTATGCAGCAATAGTGTGGGCTTTAATATTGTTTGAGGTGGTAATGATGTGTGAAGGTAAAAACGTTTTGGAATAAAAGTTTGCCTTGCCTTTCTTAACACAACAAGTTTGCAGTCAATTAAGCTCACGGTCAATTAAGAATGAATTTATATAAATAAAAAGAAATGGATTGTTTTTGAATACTGACACTAGCCTCAACATGTAACAAAGCTACTCTCAGATGATAATGTAAAAATCTTAAAATTAATCTCATTTTAAAGTGTCATTGTACTATGCTGGGAGATCTGTATTCTCGCCACATCTGAAGTCCACTATAAACAAGTATAAATGTTTTAGAGGATTCAAAATCAGATGTTGAAAGATTTTGGAATGCTTGACGTGACGGTAATGACAGCAGTACTGCTGACAGCAACTTTTCAATTATAAAGAATCTTTTGTGGAATGCAAAAAAATAAAAAATAAATTCTATGGATGTTAAACGTTCTTCATGGAACCATCAATGCCAATAAAGAACCTTTATTTTTAAGTGTGGCGATGCAATAGAAAAACAGTTATTAAATTACTTATTTTAGGTTTGTGTGAATAACAATTTAAAAATCTAAATAAGTGAGTTTTTAACAGTGATGCCATAGAAGAACCATTTTGTTTCCCCAAAGAACCTTCCGGTGAACCATCCGGAGGCCAGCTGTGCGGGTAAACCTCACTGTTAATGCGTCTGCCTCCCATGCTGGAAACACCCGTTCGAATCGCGCTCGGAGCAATGAGGTTTAGGGGAGTGAGTGTAATAGAAGCCAGCTGGTAAGAGCTGTGCGAGTAAACCTCACTCCCCTGATCTCAAGAGGTCCACTAGCGACTGAGACTAGAGGCTGCATTCTTTAGTGTCCTTGCTAATGCGTCTGCCTCCCATGCTGGAAACACCAGTCCGAATCGTGCTCAGAGCAAGAACGGGGAGGGGAGCGAGTGTAATAGAGACCAGCTGGTAAGAGCTGTGCGGGTAAACCTCACTCCCCTGATCTCAAGTTTTCAGAGGCCAGAAAAAGCACCCAAATATAATGCATAAAAAATACTATTAAAATACCAATTAATTTAGCTAATACATACAATACAACTGCATGACAGAAAGTACACTTGTTATATTCAATATCACTCACTCAAAAAAATGCGCACAACACTGTTGAGTAGATTTTGACACAAGAAGTAACAACAGAACCAAACAAAGATGGCATAAACCTACTTAAACAAAACAGATGAACAACACAAGTTCTTCTAAAAACCCTCCATGTTCTTGTTTTCCCTCTCTACGCAACATAAATACAAATAAAATACATAAAACCGAGCCTCACCCCCTTTAACTCGATTCATTGGGGTGCTGTGTATAAATGTGATGAGCAAAGCTATTTTAATATTCAACTCCCAGCACAGTTCCTCCTAAATATGTCTCTTAAGCACACGAGAATTTAGCACTCCGCCAGCTGTCTCTTGTGAATCACCGATTGTGGATTATTTGACGTTTCTGGGGTGTCACGGGGAGCAGAGACCACTGCCAAAACGGCATTATTGATCTCCATCCAGCTCCAATAAGATCCCCGAACGTCTCGGCCTACAGTACGTCTGCCTCCTTAACTTCCAATTTCCTTGTAAACGATCACCCGAGTGGGTTTTTCAACAGTCTTTATGGAGAAAGGAAGTGTATACACAGGTTTCCCCCCAAGGCTTTTCCCAATGAAATACAAATTAAATAAATCTGATAAATTAACATTTGTACATAAATATTTTATATACTAAAAATATATGAAAATCAATTAAAAATAAATACATTTTAAAAATGTTTTATGTTTATATATAATAATACAAAATAAAGAAAGAAAGAAAAATTATATATATATATAGAGATTCTCAGTGTCTCTCGATCTTCCTCTCAAAGCCTCCGGATCTCCAGAGAGGTTCAAAAGTATCTAGGCAGCAGAAGTCAAGATGGAATCTGGAAGATATTGAGGGTGATGTAACCTCATTAATGCAGCATTTTCTGTTGTTTTAGTCTCACTCTGATGACTTCAACCATGGCCGCCCTGCAGCACGACAGTATATTAGAGGGGGGGTCTCACTTAGAAACCAATTATGAAGGAATTCTTTTGAAACCAACAGTGTAAAGGCACAGACGTTCCAAAAATGCCAAAAATAAGTGTTTTTGTTTCTATACTACATGCATTCCTGCTACAGTCGGGGCCCATGCAGTACACTTAGTAACTAACTGAATTAATTTATTTTATATATGTTGTTCTTACATGAATATTGCATGTACTAAAAAACATGAAATAAATTAAAAATAAATATATAAAATAACTTTTTTTTAAATATGTTTTTTAATAGTTATTTATAATGAATTTCTGCTTTTGTTTATCATTTAAAAATGGATTACACACTAATCTCGTGTGATTAAGGGGATGAATATTAAGAGAACGGCATGTTGGAAAACCACAGATGGTCGTTCACAGACGAGAGATGACAAACTGATCAAAGGAACCACGGCGGTGCGTTTGTTGACGTGCAATGAGAAAAGTCAGAAGCTAGTTTATGCAGTTGCACATACTGTACAAGCAAAAGTGTATATTCCGACTGTATGCAGAGACAATACTCACTGGAAAAACCTCATATTTATTTAAATGAGCTCAGTAATTGCCAAACTGTCAGGAATAATGAGCAAGGGGCATTTATTTGCCAAATACTGACAGGAAAAATAACTTTAAACTAACACGTTTACTATGTTATCACAAGATATTTGGCCGAAGGCAACTGACCTCAACTGTGATTTCCTCTAATCTCATAAAAGGCTTGTCAGGAATATTTCTTCCCGCATACACTGAATTTCAAAAGATATATCATTGCCTACTATTTAAAAAAAGATAATTATGCAGCCTGTCATACGCATAACACTTCACGTAACAATTCCTGCAATTAAAATTTTACCTTTTATCTCAGGCTCAGTATTTCTCTTCCAGCAATATTTATGAGTGCGTTTCCCATTTTTACTGAAGTGTTTTGGAAACCTATTCATTTTATAATAGAAATGTGAAGTTCGATTGTTTTTGTGTTGAAATCTCATTGGCATTGGGCAAAATGACATGCAACTTGACAGAAAATGTAAAACTCTTTTTAAAAAGATAATTTATATGAATATGCAGCTTAATAATGCACTTTTGATTAGTTTGTGGTCTTTGTGACAATGTTAAATCTGAACTTGTCCGTTAAAATATCATTAAATTCTTAGGGAAAATCTGCTGCCCTCTGCCAGAAAGTTGTCAATGGGAAGAAGGTTTACCTTCCAACATGACAATGACCCAAAGCATACAGCAAAACTGTTGGTGTTATATCTTTCATTTGGATGTTATAAGTAGCACTGAGTAAATACAGCTGGATAAAACAAAAACTGTGATTAATTTAAAGAGGGGTGATTGTTTTCTGTACCCACTGTTTATGATTTTTTTTATTAAAGTGTAAAATAAAATATATAAATACAAATGATTTTCTATATATACATAAATAGTTTAGATAAATGGAATAATTAAATAAAATGAATATATGGTGCGATGTCTGTTTTTGATGGACTCACATATGGTTGGCGTTTCATCAGAGCCGTCGGGGCAGTCGTGCTCCCCATCACACAGCCAGCTCTCAGAAACACAGCTGTGTCCGTCCGCACACAGATATTCCTCCACGTCACACACTTGAGGAAGAGCGGAGAGCAGGGTGAAGAGATGATGAGGGGAGAGAATGAAAAATGAGACGTCATGAATGACATGTTATAGTATGTTTCAAGTTTGTGTGTTGAGTATGGACGTATTATCATAGAAATTTTTTTAAAGCTGGATGTGGGTTGACAGTAAAATGACAGATAAAGTGTGAGTGAGTGAGCGAGAGAGTGAGTGAGTGAGTGAGTGAGTGAGTGAGTGAGTGAGTGAGTGAGTGAGTGAGTGAGTGAGTGAGTGAGTGAGTGAGTGAGTGAGTGAGTGAGTGAGTGAGTGAGTGAGTGAGTGAGTGAGTGAGTGAGTGAGTGAGATTGAGATTGAGATTGAGAGAGTGTGAGTGTGAGTGTGAGAGTGAGTGAGTGAGTGTGAGTGTGAGTGTGAGAGTGAGTGAATGAGTGAGTGTGTGTGAGTGTGAGTGAGTGTGTGTGTGTGAGTGTGTGTGTGTGAGAGTGTGA